TCAAATATCTCTATATAAGATATATAAGAGAAATTCAAATCTTCAAGTGTATTGGAGAGCCGCAAAATGGCTAGAGATTGTGGAGGCTAGACCCTTTTACGGAGTCGAATGGATCCCAGAAGTGTATCAACCAAAATAGAAAGAGAGAGTAGAGAAGACCAAATATCAAGAACATCTGCATCCATCTATATTGTTTTTTTCCGTTCCAAGTCAAAATATTCTTATCGCTCCTTGATTTCCGTTTTCGGACTGAGGGGGATCCACGACCATTGAAGGCTTGCAAGTATCTAGGAGAAAAAGAAAAAGAGACAAGTTTGACCGATCGCATTCGTTTTTGGTTTTTACTTCTCTTTTTTTATTTCCCAAAGCGTGAAGTCAAGCGACAGAGACAGGAAGAAGATACGGCAAAAAAAGAAACTTGAAGGACAACCCTGTCTTTTTTCCCGTGTAAACTTCCATTCGAATTTCATCCTCTGATTACAACCTTGGAACTCTCCTTCCCTTTTTTTTTTTCCTTTCCTTATTCCCCATCCTTCTTCCTTCTTTTACCCTTTACTCAAACCCTTCGCTCTTTTCTTCCATTCTCTCTCGTTTTTCGAGTGTCATAGGGAAACCTGGGACATTTTGACCTGGGACTTTCCCGCCCAGTTCCTTCCAGATTTGAGAGATGGCTCCTCCTCCACGTCTGCGCATTCTGTCCGGTGAGTTCATCTTCAATCTCCCGAGGTCTTCAAATCTGAGATCTCAGGGGAGAAAAATGGTTCGTTATCTAACCAAGGCCTGTGTAGTTGGTGGCAATGCGATTTCAGCCTTTCTCTCATGGCGACTTCAGGCGACAACCTCCTGCGACGTTACGCTAGTATGGAAATCCGGATTTGATGCCGTGTCTCAATACGGTGTCTCATTTAAGTATGTATTCGACTTCTTGTGTCACAGGCAAATGGCTAATTCCCCTCAGATCAAAAGCATTCGGCAACGAACGATTCAAACCCCGACATGGTGAGATTCGGATCTCAACTCTCGGCCTGAGCCATGGCCAGAGTCCCGGCTGACTTGTCCCCGATATTTAGTTGTTCGTGCTCCCGAAGAAGCCTCATCCCGTGAAAATGCCTACGACTATGTCATCCTCTGTGTGAAAGCCCTGCCGGATGTATACGATCTTGCGTCCGTGATTGAATCCGTCGTCACTCCTCAGCACACCTGTATTCTGGTAAATACCACAAATACTCTCGGTATTGAAGCCCATCTTGAACAAAGATACCCTACCAACGTCATCCTTTCTCTCGTTTCCAACGTGGAAATCTCCCAAACGGGGCCCAGCGAGTTCGAACATCTCAGCTCGAGCGAGATTTACGTGGGCGCAACCAACAAATCTTCCTCCATCCCCACATCAATCCAGAACGACATGGCGGCGGCATTGGCAATGACTTTGAACTCCGGTCAGGTCGACTGTAAGGTTTCGGATAATATCAGACAGGAGCAGTTCGACCGGATGATAGGGTGAGTTCCTTCAGATTCGCTTGAATCTCAAAATTGCATGCTAAACGTCTCCTAGCTCGATCGCCTTCCATCCCGCAAGTGTCGTGTTCGACACCCCCAACCATACACAACTCCTCGATAAAATTGGTGTTCGTTCACTGATCATGGGCATCATTGACGAGATGATAGAGCTTGCCTCTGCGCAAGGTTGCTCATTCTCTAGCGACTTCCGGGATAAGACGGTCCAAAAACAGATTGCATTGGAGTCTCCGACCACAATGTACTCAGATTTCCAGGGCCGACGCCCCATGGAGGTTGAGACTTTCCTGGGGTCACCAGTCAAGTTGGCGATTGAGTCAAATGTTCGCGTTCCCCGAATCGAGACCATGTACGCAATGCTACACCACGTCAATATCGCCAACCAGAACAAGTCCCGGCAGGAGTCCCCTCCTGCATCCGTCATGGGTCAGCCGCCTCCCCGATTGTCTTCCGTGCCTCCACAACAGCGACCTATGATGAACGGTGGCCCGCAATCTATGCGTGGAAGCCGAACACCCTCAGGCATGGGCATGCCCCCGCAACAAAGACGAGGCCCACCCCCTGGTATGATGCCAAGAGGTCCTGGTGGACCGATGCCACCCTCCAACCGAGTTCAGCGCGACCCATCATTGGAGGGACTTGAAGAATTCAGCCATTTAGTTGTTTACGACGAACAGGGCGAACCAAGTATACCACCTCAGAATGGAAATGGGTATCCAGAGCCAGCATCTGGCCCCGTTTCTGAATTGACATTACGTGAGCGAGAGCTGGCTCTTCGTCAACGTGAGCTGCAGCTACGTGAACAGGAGATGAACATGCGCCGAGGCCCTCCCGGGCCAGGACGCCGTGGACCGGCTCCCTCCCGCCCTAATGCGGCCTTTGACGAAGAAGATGAGGATTACTTCGACCCGATGGATACCATGGCGATTCCTCACATCGACCCTGACAGTGTCGATATGATGAGCATGACTTCCCGCCGAGGGCGCAAGGCCCCTACAAATCACAGCCAGTTCCGTAAAAACCCCGAATTTGGCGCAAACCCTCCTAGCTCTGGTGGCGGCCGGCCTTCCTCATCGGCATTCAACCGCTACTTCGGCAGGAAACGTACCAGCGACCGTGTGATGCAAGAAATCCCGGGTCTCCATGACTCACTCATGGACAACCCCATGATGGGCTACTCTTCCAACAGATATGGAGCCGTTGACCGAAACCAGATGCATGTGGATTCTCGCGCCAATTCTTTAACGGCCAGCCACATGGGCGACTACCCACCTCGACCCTTCCCACAGAGTCGGCGAAACAGCCAGACTCCTGGAATTCCGTTCGGCGGACCCCCGGGACCCCATGGACATCCTGGTCCGGGAGGCCCAGGAGGCCCTCGGATGGGCCGCCCTCCAATTGCGCGTGAACACAGTCTTGGCCCCCCTGGTGGACCTCACAATGGACAGCCTTCACCTACTGGTAACATGCGTACGCCGGTGCCGCGGTATCCTCCAGGACCAGGAAACCCGGCAGGGCCGCAGCAAGTTGAGCAACACTATGGGGTGAGCAACGCGTTCCCCGCTAAGGGTCCTCCCAAGAACCAGAATCTGACCGGAAGTGCGAGCGCCAGTGCGGGGAGCGGTGATAGTGGAGCAAGTGCAAATCTTGATTCCGAACCCTCATCCCACAGCAGTCAGATCAGCCTCGGCGACCAGGGGATTGCAGCACCCGTTCGCTAGAAAAAAAATAGCCGGGGTTCCCTCCGCTTTTTCCACTGACTGACCGACGTTTCCATAATTCCCTTTCCGGCATTGCATTCTTCCTCGGCTTGGATGATCGTCGCGTCCGCCAACAATTGGTCATGTTTGGACCTTTTTTGCATCATGGTGTCATTATGCGGGGACTTTATTCTTCGGTCCCGTTCTCTCAAAGCACTGATTAATACTCTACTCGATCGCTTCTTTACATATACATGAGGGACATAGGGGTATTCGTTGCTCATTTTTTTCTGCTTTTTTTTGTTTCGGAGTGCGGTTGGGATAACGAGGTGTGCGTGCGTGTTTTATGTTTTATTTCCCTTGTGTGATTTGCTCTGCATCGATACTCATTCTGTTTCGCGGCATTATCGATTTTTAATGAGGCCACTACGCGAGCCTAGGCTGGGACATCCTTATCCTTGCTGTTTTCTCTTCCTCCTACCTCTTTCATCTTTACAGCATGTCGATATAGCGCCGTCGGCTCCCCACCTTTCCATCTCTCTGCATGACTGTATACTACCAGCCGGCGCATTCCTTCTTCCTCCCATCTAGATCCGTATACGCCTATTGTCTTCATTTTGTCTGTTTTATCATCATTCGCCCCGCCCGGGCACTTCTTTCATTTGCCTTGTTTTATCCTTGTCTCCCATATGGCTGGCTTGATGCAAACAGCCTCTTTGATTTCGTGATCTGGTTTGGTCTCTGGCGCACTCCAAAAGAGCGGGGGTTGAATTTATTCGGTTCATTGAGTTGTGTTGATCTGCTTGCTGGGTTCGCGCTTTGCTGAAAAGAATTAATCAAGGGTGTAGTGTTTAGTTTCGCTGCGTCTTTTGAACAGCACTTTATCCTTCGGAAGAGAACACGAATCGATAGACCTTTTATATCGTTCAGGTCGCTACAGTTTATTCAAGTCCAAGTATGTGTTTAATAAATCAGAGATATTTGAATGCCTAGTTATTATAAGGTTGTTCGAACCTTCCAAGGTTTCAAGTATAAAATAGAGTATCCGTATCAGCACGTGATCACCTGATAGTAAACAATCTCGCCGTCGAATAATGTCAACAACTGGACACAAGTAACACCACATCTAGAACCATATTCCCCATCAAGGCAGTTCCCAGATCAAACATATCCAAAATGCCACCCCCTCCAATCCACCGCCGCCAAGAATCAAACAACACCTACTCCCGCCCCTCCACCCTCCCAGGAAGCGGCAACTACAACACAACAGCAACCCACACATTCAACACAAACCCAAACACTACATACACCCCAAGTTATAATTCCCACGCCTCAACCCCTTCAATGTCCGCTGCCAAATCGCGGCAATACGCCCACCTCCATTCCCAGCTCGCACAGCTCAATGCCAACCTCGCCGACACAGAGAACCTACTCCGCATGACCGCCGTGCAGGCGGCGGATATGCGGTTCCTGGGCGGGTATTCTGGGGCCCTGTTTATGGGATCTGCAAAAATTCTGGGAGAGGAGGGGGTAAAGGGAAATGCGGATAAGGATAAGAAGGCGGATGTCGAAGGAAGAATCAAGACGGAGAGTGATGAGGATTGAAATGAATTATCAATGATTGATTTGATATGATATGGTAAGTTGGATGTGTACTGGTCGTGTTGGGGCGCTTTATAATAAGCCTGGGTGATACTTTCCATGAGTTGTGCTAACATACTCTTACAACAGAGATATGATCTCCCTTCTCCTGTATTCCTTTTATCCAATCGAGGTGTTAATTTACTCCACGGATCGACCACCGAGAATTATCGCTGGCTCGTCGATGTTATGGTGTTCATAACTATGTTCCAGTCATGTTAGCTGTGCTCTATGAACTATGGCAGACGAGGTATCTCTCTGCCCAAAATCCGAGTCTTACCTGAGTGTGCCTACACCGCCAGCCTCGAGAATCAGTGATGTATCCGTCAACGGCTTTCCAGTCCAGCACATGGCAAAAGCACGCAGAATATGGCCTTGCGCGACGACAAGGACATCGCCCTTGGGCTCACCCGCGTTCTTGATGGTGGGATGCTGGTATTTGTCCCTGATCGATGAGATCAGGGTATCGAGGCGACGGGTGACATCTTCAGGGGATCTGACAACAGGGGGAACGGAGGTTAGCATGGGAGGAACGACACCGGAACAATGCTCAATGCATAACTGGAAGCAAGGCCTAGAATCGGAAGATACGAAGAAAATAAACCACTTACTCTCCACCTGGACACTCATCCGCCCAAATATTGCACGGCCCTCACCCATCTCAGCCCCTCATAATCCCCGTAATCTTACTCTCTAATCGCCTCCGTGACCTTAACCTCAGGCTCGATCCGCATCGCCTTGTGTTCAGCCTTGTGCTGTTCACTTCAGGGCATTCGTCTCTCACAGCCGAATCTGAGAAGTTCTAGGTTCTGCTGGGCGAGACAAAGCCAGAACGGCGTGTTGTCTCTGGAGAGAAATAGTGATCGGCAGTGAAGACGGATTTTATTTCTTAGTATAGACAAGCTTCTTGGGAACAACTAGTCTGCCGTTGATTGATCATCTGAATACTTTTGAGGGCAAGATCTGCATGTATTGATATTCGAATTCCCTTGTGGCTGAATCATCATTACCATACAAATCAGCTTCGTTATATCCTTTGCATCCTATCTCCATAGTGTCAGAGAATAGCTCTATTTCTAAAGTAACTCAAGTGAGGACTCGAGGGACATCGGATTCAGTAGAGCAGTAGGTCTGTAGGTTTTGGGCCGACCCATGGCTCTTCCGTTGAAAGTCTGAGCCCTTGGTTCGAGCCTTGAGAGGTGGACCAGGAGTTACTTGGGCAGATGAAAGGATTTAAGGGTGAATGGAAGGGCAACCTAATTACCAGGGACAATTTAATTGGATTATGTTCAAGTCCTAGATAAATATAGAAAAAAAGAAGCAAGTATTATAGACCAGCGTACGTAGGCTAATCACAGGACACCTGCTGGTTATATAGGCTGTCAGGCGAGGTTACAGACAGGACAATTCGCCAATCGAAATTATTTCTTGCCCTGAATAAGAACTTGTTTCTCCTTCTTGATCTGCTTGACCACTTCGATATCAATCTTCAAGACATTGGCAACAGTATCAGCAGGAGTTAGAGCCAGCCACTGAGCCAGGGAGATATCAGCGACGCGGTCGCTCTTGTAGAGCTCGATCCAAACGAGTTTCTCTGTCTCGGAGGTGTTCTCGATATAGTGTCCTTTTGGTAATGTTTAGTATATTATCTCGTTCTCGAGGGAAGTATACTTACCACTATTGTCGGGGAAAACACCAGTATCGCCCGCCTGGAAGTCAAAGGTGCGGGCCTTAGAGTCACCAATAAAGACAGTAGCACGAGCATGACCCTGGTGGAAGTAGAGCCATTCCTGGGCCTAGATGGTGGTCAGCGTAGGGTTCCTCCTTTCGGCCATTTGCTTGTAAACTTACATTAGGATGCCAGTGGAGCTCACGAAGGCCCTTGGGCTCTAGCTCGACAATTGCAGCAGCAAGAGTCTTTGAAATGGGGAAGTTGGTGGAATCAATCTTGCGTAATGTCCCACCGTGACCGGGAACAGGCTCTGAGGGATGCTTGTAGGTGTGGTAGACGTACGAATCATCACCTCTCAGTGTACCTATAGGAGTCTTGTCGACATCTTCGCTTACAGTGCCGTTGAGAATGTAAGGGAACTTTGAAGGAACCGAGTCAAAGACCTTAGGATCAACACCAAAGTTCTTGGCGAGGACATCTCTGGGGGTATGAGCGATCCAATCGTCGACCATGAATGTAGTTCTTCTTGGTCAGTATATTGAGTTTATAAAGATGTGAATGTAACATACCCAATCTTCTCAAAGTCACCATCATCAAAAGCGAGGAGGTATTCATTCTCATCATCCAGACCCTGAACATTATGTGCCACACCCTTGGGGAAATACCATATATCACCTGTTTCAAGCACCTCGGTAGTAAAGCCGCCATTTTCATCAACACCGGACAGCAGGATTGAGCCATTATAAACAAATCCCCACTCGGCCTGTATGCTAGAGTGAGTGACGTGCCATGGAAAGTGGATAACCGTGGCCACTAACCGTGCGATGCCAGTGCAGTTCGCGAATAGCGCCCTTCTTCAGATGTTGCTGAGCACCTGCAATGTCGTGACTCTGGGGCAGGTCCTGAATGACTTGCTCTCGAGACCAGCCGCCTGGGAACAACCGGGTCTGGGACTCCGAGAAACTCCACTTGACATTTGGCACAAAGCCATTATCGGTACTGGAAGTGCGGAACTGGTCTGGGTTTTGTAGATCAAGAGCTTTGTTTGTTCCACCTATTTAGAGAGAGTTGTAAGCATGCACCGAGTCGGCTACCAATGGATAGATCTTCCAAACTTAGACTTACCTAAAATCGGGGCTCCTTTAATACCACTAATCGGTTGGTCATTGCCATCCTCTTGCCTTTTAGCTTGAGGTACTGCAAAGGTAGAGGAAACAAATAGTCCAAAGAGTGCGAAGCTTTGGGACTTCATTTTGAATGAAGGGAAAGAATGTGCAGAAGAATGGGATTTGGACAAGCTAAGAACGCTGCAGCCATCCCAGGAATAGGGGGATGACCAGTTATATATGACAATTTCACACCAAGCCACCCCCTCCAAAATCTTGATGGCGAATAGACCCAAGAATTTAGCTAGTTTCAATATACCTGCCCTTAATTTCACGGCTCTATCATGTTGGCCCCAATGGAATTGAGCAGAACACACCGAGTTCGCAGAAAGTATAAACAGAGTCACAGGAGATGATTCAAGAAGATCTACCCATCTCGTCTCCCTCAAAATAACCCGGAAAAGAAGCCATCCTGGAGCGAGAATGGATCGAAAGATGCTTCAACTGGGCTAAGCATGGCCAAGATAACAACATTCTTGGCATCATGTCGAAATCGGTGAAGGCTCACTCGTGCTCATAGTCCCCATGGGGAAATTGAAAACGCTGATCCAGGGACCTGACAGGTGTTTTCAGTAGATTGTCTTCTCGGGACTTCCAGGGTTTCAAGAGGTGGAAATTAAAGTTGAAGTCCGACGTTGGATCACCTCATCGGTACCTTCGATGAGTACATGGATCTCACATTGCTTGGCATACGCGGATCATTCCTCTACTTTCACCTCTTTGTCATTTCACTCAACAAAACTTGAGCTTTGCTTTGACCTCCGGATCTCAATCCCGTGCCTTGCTTGGATATTGAATGTGGGATATTGGCGATCTCGCTAGGACGGTTCTTCGACCTTTCCTATCCCGGAAATTATGGGTTCCATTAGCCCTAGTTCTACCACCCGTTCGTCCACAACATATCGGTGTCGCTCACATCCGAATTGAGGCTACTTACTGGCATGGACTGGCTCTTGGTAGAGATACATTTTTGGGTTCGAGCTATTGATTTCACGGACTTGAAATTCCTCTCTCTAGACTTTGGATTAAATTCAATCACGACATCTCCTCAAGATTGGGAAGAATGCCCATGACTTGACTTTGCCGAAGAAGCCTGAAATGGGAGCAATTCGTCCATCTCCAGACCCCGAGTCGGGGATTGCCTGGCTTCTCATGTCTTTGAGGGATGAAATTCGCCATTTCGCAGATCAACCTCTCGAGGAATTCGGAACATCACGAACTCAAAATGTGACTTGCTTGCGTGCTCTGTGTTGTTGTTGTTGAGATGTTTCAGGGGAAAAGAAAGAGGATGCCTCATTTGGGACGACATGAAGGCACACTCGGGTATATAAGCTCTAGAGATTTCCCGTAAATATGCTCATCAAATCAACGCAATCCTGCTCAATCTTTCTCATCAACAAGATGAAGTACTCTATTGCTTCTATTGCGTCTTTGGTTACCATCGGGGAATGTCTTTCTTTGTCTCCTCTCATTCCTAGTATTCCTGGAGTGACCGAGCCTTTGACAACGAACGCTCCTCCTTTGCCTATTTTGCAAATCCCTACTCCTCCACTGGAGAGTCCTCCCTTCACCCCGAGTGATATTAAGCCAAAGAAGATTGGCTATTTCTGGACTGGCTCGGCAGAAAAGTTCCATAAAGGTGTGGATTTACAATGGCGGATTGTTAGGAGGAGATTATGCTAACTATCGCTGGTAGACTTCCTTGCTACTTACAGTTTGGATGATGTAGGTCAAGCATAAGCCTGTTCAAGACTGGCTTGAATATATTTGCTGTTTTCATTTGAGGAAACCTTTGGAACCCTTTTATGGGTCACAGATGTGCCCAGTAGTGGCAATGACCCTCACCACCTGGGCCCGTCGCTGGATGGAAAGACCATCTGGGGTGGTGGGCTACTATCTCTCTTGAAGACTCAAGTATGTATACTTCCTTGAATAAACTGCCTACAGAAGGTCTAATCCTCCATTAGGATACTGGCTTTTACTTCGATACCTCCAACCCTTATCGCCCCAAGTTCCTGAAGAGTAACCGCGGTATCCTCGCATCCATTGCAGATGAGGTCCGGGCAAAGCCAGATGGTGGATTTTTCATAACCTACATGGGCTCGGCTGTTGGTACTGCGCCCGGTCGTCTCATTGAGACTGATGCCAATTTTGACATTATTCACGAATGGCCCGAGGATGTGGAGGGCACGCTCAACATTCTTGAAAAGCAGTTCTCTCCCCACGGACTTGCTATTGATTGGGCGAAAAAGCTCATTCTGACTTCAGACTTTGTTGAGCCCATTACTATCTTGAAACCCAGTCTCGGGGTGCGCCACGCCGATACACTGCGTCTCTGGGATCTGGAATCCAGAAAGATCCTTAGCACTCTGACCATTCCTAATGTAAGCCAACCCTGATATCTAATTGGCCTGCATCTTCTAACTCAATCAGGGTGGTGGTATCCAAGATGTCAAATTCATTCCCGGACACCCGGAGTCCGCTGCTATCGCCACTGCCGTGCATCTGGGTCAACTGTGGGTCATTTACCCTCTGCGCAAGGACGCCAACGGCAACCAGGGTGTGGTTGAGAAACTCTACGATCTCGGTCCCAAGGCCCGCGATACTATTGCTATCTAGTAAGCATTTGGGCCTTTTTGCCTCACAAAGAACATCATCGCTAACAGCATGCCCCCACAGCTCGGACATCAGCCAAGACGGTAAATACTTCTACGCCACACTTACCACAGCCAACCACATTGCTGCGTTAGACATCAGCGACCTCGACAACATCAAACGTTTGGATGACCCAGATGAGGATCAGCCTACCGTCGGACCTCACTACATCAAGGTCACGCCTGACCAGAAGCATGTGGTCGTCACCGACTACTTCGTCCAGACTGGTGATATCGGCATC